GAAAGGAGGGGTATATAAATGAAGTAAATAATTTTTTTAAAAGTTAACGATTCCAAGACTGCACTGGTTGCCTGGCAGTGGAAGGTGGAAAATTACTGGGCCCTGGGCTTTGGAGCGTCGCCATCATTAACAGTGTTTTATTATCATCCTGGCGAAGAAAGCAGTTTGCGCTCTTCGCCAAAGTAGCTCAGCCGGGTCAGTGGCAGAAAAGGTAAACACCATTTAGGGCCTCCCCAAATTGTGCAGAAAGTGAAATTAATCAAGAGAAAGGGAGGAGGGGGACTGAAATTGGCATGAAATTAACCAAGGGGGAAAGGGGGGGGCTGACAGACATTGCACACGCCCCCAAGAGATAAGAGATGCTGGGAACTGCTGAGAGTCGGTTAAGGGCGGGTGGGGGACGGCCCTATTCAAGCCCTCCCTAGTTTCTCAGTTTAAAAAAAAAAAATTCTTCCTCTTCTGCTCTGCCGCTTTTCAAAACAGGATCCCAAAGATGCGGTTAAAGGCGTTCTGGAGCTGGAAAGAGAACTGGATGAGTCTGGAGGGTATCGGGAGACTGTTTTGTTTCACGAAGACACCTTTGGCAGGTAATGGCCCCTGATAATCACACCTCCAAAGGTTTGGGAGGGGGGGTCCTCAGGAAAAACTTCTAGATGCCCGTTTCCTCCCTGATAGATTTCCTCCCTCTTTCTTCCAGGAGTATTACTGATTGGGTTTCTGCCGTGTCTGTTAGCTGCATGGCTTTCAGTTCGGTGCCAGTCTGGTGTCGTGGTTAAGTGCGCGGACTCTAATCTGGGAGAACCGGGTTTGATTCCCCACTCCTCTACTTGCACCTGGCTGGATGACCTTGGGCAAGCCATAGCTCTGATAAGAGCTGTTCTTGAAAAAAGAGCCATTTCTGTTGGAGCTCTCAGCCCCACCTACCTCACAGGGTGTCTGTTGTGGGGAGGGGAAGGGAAAGGAGTTTGTCAGCCGCTCTGAGACCCCAAGTGAAGGGGGCTTTAAATCCAATCATCTCCATCTCCTCCTCTTCTTCTTTCATGTGGAATTGCTGACTTTTAAACTGGTCCCTCTAGATGTCCCTTTAATATCAATTTGACCTGCAGAGAGTATCAGGTGGCATTCTTTAGCTCCATGGGAGAACAAGCCTCCAGTGCAGATTTCTGCATGCAAAACCTCTGTTACAAGGACAAGACTTTATTCCTGGCCAGTTGGGAACCTCACTTCCAAGTGAGGAGTTAAGTAAAAACAATTAAAGCATATTTAAAACAGGAGGGTTTTTTAAAAAAATAATGTTGCTTAAAAACATCTGTTGCAGCAATTGAAAATTCACAGTCAATCAGTACCTAGGAGAATACAGTGGAAATGCTATTTATTCAAAGGGAAGAAGAGGCGGGGAATCCTGCCGCCAGAAGTGATCCAGGACAGCAGAATCAGTCCATAGTTTCATAGGGTCTGCGATAGAACTGGTAGATTCAAGTCCGGCAGGAACAAGATTTGCAGGATGCAAAGTTTGAGTCCGGTGGCACCTTTTAAGACCTGCAGAGTTGGATACTGGGTATGAGCTTCGGTGTGCATGCACACTGCTTCAGGTACATTGAACCAGGCTTTGCCAACCATTACATATAGGTAGAGAGAGGGTGTGTTTGGAAGGGGGGGGGTAATTGCCAAAAAGGGCTCATTGGAGTCAAGATTTATAAGTAACTGAGCGATAAGTACAGCTAAGATTGGATTGAAACAATTGGTAAAACCTGTGAATAGCAGCAGATTATCATACAGATAATAAAAGAGTTAGCATACAGATTGAAGAACTGACTGACATTAGCATGTGTAGTGAGATAAGAAACGGATATCTCTGTTAAGCCCCGAGGGTTCAATTGTCCCGAGTTTTGTAATAACTTGTAACTCAGCAATCTCCTATTCCAGTCGGTTTCTGAAATTCCTTTGCAAGAAAACAGCTACTTGGAGGTCCCCCACTGAGTGTCCCGGGAGGTTGAAGTGTTCTCCTACAGGTTAAGTGCGCGGACTCTAATCTGGGAGAACCGGGTTTGATTCCCCACGCCTCCACTTGCAGCTGCTGGATGACCTTGGGCAAGCCATAGTTCTGGTAGAGCTGTTCTCTCGAGGACAGTTGTCTCAGAGTTCTCTCAGCCCCACCTACCTCGCAGGGTGTCTGTTGTAGGGAAGGGAGGGGAAGGGAAAGGAGTTTGTCAGCCGCTCTGAGACTCCGAGTGAAGGGCAGGGTATAAATCCAATCTCCTCCTCTCCTTCTGCTCTTCTCAGTTTTGTGATTCCTGATGTCAGATTTGTGTCCATTTATCCTCTGGCACAGGGTTTGACCTGTTTGCCTTATGTAGAGAACTGAAGAGCATTGTTGGCATTTAGTGGCATACAGGGGTCATTGCCTGCAGGAGCGCACAGGAGCGGAGCTCCGGCAGTAAAGAGGCCAGGGGGTGGGCACATGCAACAAGCCCCGCCCCCTGCTCCCAGCAGCCCTCAGTCAGAGCAAGAAGCAGCTGGGTAAGTTGCAAAGCTCCCCCTGGCCCCCCGGTCCAAAACACTCCAGTGGCACCTTTAAGACCAAGGTTTATTCAGGTATGAGCTCTCCCTCCTCTACAAGGACAGATCTGCACGTTCCTCCCCCCCCCCCACAACCTAGAAATCCAAAACAGCCCCGCAGCGGAGCCTGAGCGGTGGGTGTTGCCTTCTGACACACTTCCGGTGATGTCAGGGGGTGTGGCATATGCTAATGAGTTATGCTAATGAGCTCCTGCACCTCTTTTTCTACGAAATAACTCCTGGTGGCATATAGAATGTTAGAAAATGAGCAAGTGAATGAGCCTGAGAGGGTGTCGTTGATGTTGCTAGGTCCAGTGATTGTGTTGTCTGGGTGTGCCAGCAAAGTTGGCATCTGGGTTTATTGCAAGCTCTGGTCCCAGTGTCCATGTTTAAATTAGACGTTGTATTATTGTGGGTGAGAAGCTGTTTAAGTTTGGGGGGCTACCTGTGGGCGAAAAAGGGTTTGCCCCCCCCCCAGTACTTGTGAAAGAGACCTCTCATTGTCCAGCAGAGGTTGTAAGTCCCTGGTGACGCCTTGAGCTGTTTTGAGCTGAGAGCTGTCTGCGACCACTAGCGGTCCTCTGTCGTTGTCTCTTTGGGGCCTGTCTTGCAACACAGAGGGAAGCCATTTTTAGCATTATTTGGGGAAAGCTGTCCACTGTATATGACGTGGTCAAGGTTTCTGTGAATGAGAAACCGTGGACGAAATGGGTTCATACACAAGAGCTTCCTCCATTGTAAATCTGGGGGTCTTCAAGGTCCCAGATGGCTGCTGTTTGGTCAGGTAAGACCTGCTTCCCACCTGCAGTCTGAGCCTCCAGGAAAACCAGTCGACTGCCGTTCCTTGGATTGTGCTTTATAGGTTACTTGTCTAGTCCAGCTCCTCAGAGTGTCTGGCTGGCTACAGAGCCTCGATTGTCCCGAAGGCCAGGACCGGATACCACTGCCTACCAAGAATATCCTGTGGCGCAAATGCCAACCTCGCTGCCATGATGCAAAAAAATCCCCAATCCCTCCTTGAATCTCTACACTGCTCTGATCTAGTTACGAGTTCAGGAGACTTAAGGAACTTTGCAAACTAAGGGTCTTGTTTCCACAGGAAACCATGCTGAGCGTTGGGGGAAAGAGGGCGGCCGGGGGAACCGGTCTCTGCACGGAAGCAACCCGGCCACGATCCGGCAAGGCTACAAGAGCAACGCCCGTTTCTCAGGGATACAGGGAACAATGGACCCTTCTCTGGGGAAATCCAGCCACCGCCAGGAAGACCTAAAGGTAATTAACTTTCCTCTCTCAGTAAATTCTCACAGTTTACTTCCCGCAATTAGAAAAGAGGCCTTCTCACATTATCCCCTATTTTGACATATTTAGTACTTTGCTGTCCTGGCTCCCCCTTTCCCCAGTTTTCCCAGTTTGGTCTAGTGGTTAAGTGCGCTGACTCTAATCTGGGAGAACCAGGTTTGATTCCCCACTCCTCCACGTGCAGCTGCTGGATGACCTTGGGCAAGCCGTAGTTCTGATAAGAGCTGTCCTTGAAAAAGAGCCGTTTCTGTCAAGAGCTCTCTCTTGAACGGCAGGAAAGTCAGAACAAATTTAGAGTCCAGTGTGGCACCTTGAAGACCACCAAAGGCTTATTCACGGTATGAGCTTTCGTCTGCATGGCACACTCTGTCAAAAACATTGGAAAGGAAGCTGGATTCACATTTACAGATACATACAGGCTGAACAGCAAATTAACATGTAACATGAAGCAGATGCTTTAAGATATTCAAAGTGAAACTAAATAACTAGCTAAGGTTAGAAGGTCAACAGTTGTTTTGATGTAATTAAGAAGAAGAAGAAGAGAAGAAGAGATTGGATTTACACCCCGCATTTTACAACCCAAGGGAGTCTCAGAGGGGCTCACAAACTCCTTTCCCTTCCCCCTCCCCACAACAGGCACCCGGTGAGGTAGGTGGGGCTGAGAGAACTCTGACAAAAACTGGCTCTTTTTCGAGAACAGCTCTTATCAGAACTACGGCTTGCCCTAGACCAGTGATGGCGAACCTTTTAGAGACCGAGTGCCCAAACTGCGACCCAAAACCCACTTATTTATCGCCAAGCGCCAACACAGCAATTTAACCTGAATACGGAGGTTTTACTTTAGAAAAAAACAACTCATACATTAACTTAAGATGATCCAAACAAAGTAAGGAAAGCAATCCCAAATGCTTTCATTGACTTAAAATTATTTGGCAGAGAATTCGACACTTTAATGATGGTCTGGGCCTGGCTACTGTTGCCCCCCCCCCCAAGCACCAAGAGTAAAGAGCATCCCTTGCCCCAGCCTAAGAGTTCCTCTCCTTATCTTGATTGGGCTTTTGTTCCTCTCTTCTCTTTAGTCTTCGAAGTGCCAGGAGGAGAGCTCTCGGACGGCTCGGCAGGCCGAATCCCAAAGCGAAGGGATGCCGATGGCTTCGTACAAAGTCCAGGTGGCCACCGGGAACTTCTGGGGCTCGGGAACCTTCAGCTCCATCTCCATCACCTTGGTGGGCTCCAAGGGGCAGAGTCCGAAACAGTCGTTGAATAACATGGGCAAGGATTTCATCCCAGGAGCGGTAAGAGTCGGGGCTGGGGAGTTTGGGGTGGAAAGTGGGGAGGGGGACTTGATGCCTGATGCCAGCCCTGTTACCCCATGGCATTTTGGAAAGAGGTACCTTTGGCCAGATTCACAAATGCCGTTCCAAGTGTTTCTAAGCTTCTGTTGGGGTGGCATGTGTGAGAGGTAGGAGAAATGCCTGAAATGCGCTTGTTTCAGGTTTTTACAATTACAGTTGTGTACTCTCAAGTTATGGAGCTGCGGTGGTTCAAGTGGTTAAGACGCTGAACTGCAGGCTGTGGAAGGTCGGTCATTCAGCAGTTCGAGACCCGTGTTTGCCACGTGACGGAGTGAGCTCCCGTCTCTAGCTCCAGCTCCTGCCAACCGAGCAGTTCGAAAGCAAGAAATTGCAAGTAGATAAATAGGGACCACTTTGGTGGGAAGGGAACAGCGTTCCGTGCGCCTTGGTGTTTAGTCACGCCGGCCACATGACCACGGAAACGTCTTCGGACAGCGCTGGCTCTTCGGCTTTGAAACGGAGATGAGCACCGCAACCCTAGAGTCGGATTCGACTGGCTTTCGAGCAAGGGAAACCCTTTACCTTTACCTTTTTTACTCTCAAGTTGCAACTGACTCGTGGTGACCTCAGGACCCCGCGGTTTTTAATGCAAGGGGCAAGGAGGGATGGTTTGCCATTCCCTGCCTCTGCCTAGCGATTAGGGTTGCCATCTCCAGGTTGGGGAATACCAGGAGATTTTGGGGGTGGAGCCTGAGGAGGCCGGGGTTGGGGAGGGGAGGGGACTTCAGTGGGGCGTAATGCCACAGTCCATCTTCCAAAGGAGCCATTTCCTCTGGGCAGGGGTCATTTCGTAGACAAAGAGGTGTAGGAGCTCATTAGCATAACTTATTTGCATAACTTATTTGCATAACTCATTTGCATAACTCATTTGTATATGCCACACCCCCTGACATCACCGGAAGTGTGTCAGAAGGCAACACCCTCCGCTCAGGCTCCACTGGACTGTTTTCGGATTGCTAGCTATTGGGGGGGGGGACGTGCAGATCTGTCCTCACAGAGGAGGGAGAGCTTGTACCTGAATAAAACTTGGCCTTAAAGGCTCCACTGGATTGTTTTGGATTGCTAGCTGTTGTGGGGGGGGGGGGGTGCGGAT